TACAGCCATGGTCTTCCTACAGCCATGGTCTTCCTACAGCCATGGTCTTCCTACAGCCATGGTCTTCCTACAGCCATGGTCTTCCTACAGCCATGCGCCAACATGGACTCAGTGTCACCTAACAGCATCGTGTAAACCTGGAGAACTGGCTGATATCAGCAGGACCCCAGTGGGTTCCAACTCATGGAGACCCCAGGGACAGAGCCCACCTGCTGCGTAAGACCTTCTATGTTGTCGTCCTTATGGAAGAACCTTGTGATGCAGTGGTTAAAGCACTTGCTGCTCACCAAAAGATCAGCGGTTCGAACCCACCAGCCACTCCGAGGGAGAAGGATGAGGCTGTCTGTTTCTGATAAGATTTCCGGCCTCGGAAAACCCCATGGAGCTGTTCTACTGTGTCCTACAGAGATGCTTTGGGTCCGAATCGACATGGCTGAAACGGGTGTTGTTTTGGTTCTGACCTTTCGGTTAGCATCCGCAGCCCGGTACTAAAGTATCACACGGCAGGAAAACCCCAAACCAAACCCTGTGCCAACAGGCGGATTCTGATGTGGCACACAGTAAAACTGCCCCGGAGGCTTCCCAAGATTCTCATCTTCACAGAAATAGACGGTCACATCTTTCTCCCGTAGAGCGGTTGGTGGGTTTGAACCACCGATGTTCCCGTCAGCAGGTGAGCACTTAACCAGTGTTCCACCAGGGCTCATTGAGGTGTGTTTACAACATCCTAATCCAGCCCAGGGCCATGGAATCAACTGTGACTCTTAGTAACCGCCCCCCAGGACACAGCGGAACTGCCCGGGGAGTTTCCAAGACTGTCCTCTACACTGGGGCAGGCAGCCTCAGCTTGGAGGGCTCTGTGAAGGGTGAGTGGCTACCTGGTACACTGTGCTCGTCGGTCTCCATGAAACTGAGTCCAGGGATAACATTGCTCCATGACACCCATCTATGGAGTTCTGCACCTCTTATCCACAAACCCACTGCTCTGGGGGCCCCCCAAATCCTCCACCTTTTCTGTACCAGCCTCCTCCAAGTTCCAGGGGGTGCTAGAGCCATTCATCTGGGGACTGAGTCAACTGGATGCACGGAGAACTCAGATCTGTTGTGTTGTTGTTGTTACGTGCCATTGACTCATAGCGACC